CCCATACGGTGCCATTTTCATATCTGTAAATCTGTCTGAGTCACACCCATTGTTGTGACCTATGTTTGATTAGCTGTGGCGGCCATCTTGAATCAAGTTGACTCCAAAAGTTAAAGAGTTGTAGATGCACATCCGGTGATTAAATCCTGAGAGTTTTATTAAACTCCGTCCAGTGGTTTGTGACATATTTTGCTAACAGACAGACAGACATCTCATTTCTTAATGTAACTCAGATGAAATGTTTAGCATCTGCGGGCTTTTATTGTGAAAGAACAGTCCATCAGCGTGTAGAAGAGTGTTCTGGGTGTGCAATCTGTTTCCGGTAAGCGCCAGCAGAGGCTCGCACGTGCAGCAAACCCGCTCATCAGAGATCAAAGGCGGCGGTAGTTAACTATTACCTTTAAGAGCCGATCAAAGATGAGAGATCAAAGCGCCGCGGATCGATCTGCCGCAGCTTCTGATCGGCCGTCTGTGCCTCTTCACGAGTCTGTCACTGATTCACGGACACACAAAACAGATTCTAAACAGGATCTCCTGAATTAATATATAAATAAGATCACATTTATTCCGAGAGGAAAATGCGCCTTGAACGCATCATTTTAAGCCCCGTTCATATGGTGTCTGTTAGCAAAATATCCCACGAGCCACTGGACGGTTTTTAATGCAACTCACTGGGTGGGCGTCTACAACACCAACCAAGATGGCCGCTGCATGAAAAACATCCAAGAGTCCGTTGAACAAATATGGAGGTGGTAGCAGCTGAGAGTCATTCATAACGCACAATGCGAGGGCATGCTTTTCAAGGTTTGACACACGCGCGCACGCACGCGCACATGCACACGCACGTAGAGCGCGGTCTGAGCTGCAGTCCCCTCATCTCGGAGCCTCCGTCTCTGCTCGGATTATTCTAATCTGTCGGATTTTATTTCTTTTTCTGGTTGTTTTTCATCTGAAGGTGCACGGGAGGAGGCCGGGGTCGGTTTCGGCGCGGGATGCGTGCGGGTCCTGAAGGTAGGACAGCCGATCCGAGCCGGGCCGGGCCGGGTTGTGTGTCTTTATGATTTATGATGCTGCCTGCAGCCGCGGTTCACGCAGAGTTCAGGAAGCTGCAGCCTCCAGCCCTCTCCTCTCAATTTCTCCTCTAGATTTAAAAACTGAAGCTTTTTTTATTTGCTTTTTATTTAATTTCAGAAGAATTGTCGAATATATATTTTACAAAAAGATGGAACTGATGTGAGCTGCAGGACATTTTTATCTTTTAGCATTTGATGCATGAGTTCAGATTCAGATAAAACATTTAATTTTTCATTTTAAAAACAGGCCGACAGTTCAGCAGAACAAAGGTCATTTATTATTTATTACCAGGAAACAGAAAATAAAAATCCTTATTTCAAATATTATTCAAATTACTGTAATTGCTTTATTTTGCACTTCACTGCTGCCATTTTACTTTGTAAATAATCTAATAAATTATAATCCTTAAAAAAAGCATTTTTCAAGCTGTTACTTTTCTTTTTACCCAATATTTAATGAAAACATCGAGTAAATATGCATTTATTTAGTTGCTTTTATAAAATTAAAGGCCTCCACTGCACATAAATCAGACAGAAAAAGTGTCTTGCAGTTTATCAAACGGCTCTTTTGACTTAGTCTTCAGGATTTGTTGATATGAAGTTCTAAAATGCAGGTACACACTCAGTGTAAACAAAGCGACACAGCAGGACACTTTCAGCCTCTTTCTGTAAGTAAAACATATTTTATTTGATTTTAAGGACATTAAGCACAAATATGAATCAAAAACACATATTTTAGGATTTATATTTTGTCTGTTCGTGGCTTAAAATGAAAGACAAGAAGGTTTGAAGGAATGAATCTCTGCAGATTTATTCTCAGATTTGTTTTTGTCCCTCTTTAAACTCTCCACGCTGCCTCTCCAGCCTGATGCTATTCATGTCAGCTCACCATTGACTTAATAAGATGGATCATTTCGTCTCCTCCCAGATTCACTCTCCTTTTTCTCCTGGATCCTCTCAGGCTCGAAGCCCTCGGCTCTCTGGAAACCTGCCACGTGACACTCGGCTGCCAGAAGGTCAAAAGGGGCCCCGGCGCTCGTTTCATGGAAATGCAGAAAGGCGGCGTCTACCAGGACCTCTGCAGCCCGGTTCTGGGTGTGGTCTCTGGGTTCGGGGGTTCTGATCTCCAGCAGTCGGTGGAGATGTTCGGGTTGCCGCAGAGGTCCAAACCAGAAAAGTTCACAAAAAAGATTTTCCCCTGGATGAAAGAGTCCAGACTCTCAGGTCACAACAAAGACCAGAGAGCAGCAGGTAAAGGTTATAATTATTCATATTAATAAGTTATTCTCTTCCTAATAAGTCAAACTTAAATTATTTTCCTTAAGCTGCAGAGAAAGTCCAAACTTTTATGCTCAAATGTATTTGAGGAGGTTATTTAGATAAAATATTAACAAATCCTTTCTGCATGATGATAATCAGTAAATCACGTTTTAATACAATATCATCTGATTCTCATTAATTTAATTATGTTTATAACCACAAGTTGAATTTCTCAGTAATCTGCAAAGAAAAAATATTATTTTAAAGCATTGAAACATGAGCTAAAGGTAAACTAAAACAACCCACGTGTAATTCAGCCTTTATTTTTCTACATTTTCTTAATTTACTTCTGTGTGTTTTTATTATAGCTGCCATAAAGAATATTTTAATTATTTCTTCAACACTCATTTGTGAAGGAGTTGCTCTTTTTTTCATGGTAAAATAAACAAAAGCATCTATTTATAGAGACACATTGAACTGTATCTGTTTAAACATTGTATAAATAATAATATCATTATAGAATTGAAAATAAATCCACCAATACAATAAATGTCGACTTGATTTGAGGTTCTGTGTCAGGAAACTCTTTTTTTTTTTTTTGTTGCTTAAATTGTCCTTTTATTGTTGGTCTTGTAAACAATAATTAAATAAAATGTAAAAAAAAAAATGAAACAAAGAGCAGCAGTTAAAAAAAGCCACACTGTAAAAACGGATTTTGAACAGTACAGAGTATCACTAACGAATATTATTTAATTTTTATTAAAGATTTAGTAAATCAAATTCACAAAACTTCTCAAATCGGATTATTTTCAGAAGTTTGTTCAAAAGTTAATCAAATATTTTAACTGTAACAACGTTTAACAGGTTATTTAGATGTTTAGGTAAACTATAATTTAACTGTAACATTTATTAGATTTGTTAGAATTTAATCAACATAGAAGTGATGTAAGTTCAATAATTAACTAAAGTGATGCAATTTTTTTAACGTGACTATTTTCGAGAAGCTTGAATTACTGTACTGGCAACAAAAACAAAGTATTTGTTTGATGAATTGGTTTCTTTTCCAGTGCAGTGTCTGTCTGACGCTTGCTTTCTGCGCAGATCGCGCCGAGTTGTGCTCGAGCCCGGCCTCCAAGCGCACGCGCACCGCGTACACGAGCGCGCAACTGGTGGAGCTGGAGAAGGAGTTCCACTTCAGCCGCTACCTGTGCAGGCCGCGGCGCGTGGAGATGGCCGGCCTGCTCAACCTGAACGAGAGGCAGATCAAGATCTGGTTCCAGAACCGGAGGATGAAGCAGAAGAAGGAGCAGAGGGGCCCCAGCACCTCCTCCTCCTCCTCCTCCCCGCCGTCCTCCCCCTCCGCCGCTGGCAGCCCCACTCTGACCAGCCTGGGTTACGTCCATCTGGGAGCTGATTACCAGCCGGCCTACCCGGCAGGTTGCTCCAAATATACGAGCTTTGCGCACGACGCGCAGCTCCATGCGCCAAACGAGCCGCAGCCCGCGGGAGGAGCTGACCCGAGCGGCTCATACTTCTGCCAGCAGCGGATCCTGCAGGCTCCAAAACTCACCCATCTGTAGCACAAAACGCTGCACATCTGTCCAGCTGCATGCGCATTTTATTTCAGGAAGTCTCAACTTTGATTTATTCTGTGCGCTTTGGTTCAACTTTTACGCACGAGTTATTTTAATTGTAAGAGAATGCAAGCTCAAACTAAAATAATAATCGTTTAGGAAACAAAATAATCAGTTGACTTTTGATCCCATCACGCACGAGCACGATTAGACCCTCTTGAGGAGCCAAAACGCGCCTGAAATGGCGAATGCTTGGTTTTTATTCATTAAAGCTGATTACGGTTAATTAGAGGCCGGATGTTTAAAGTGCTTGGAAGAGTTTCACATTAAGACGCAGGGACAACGGGCTGGTTTTAACTGGCCCTTAAAAGCATCTTTTGTTCTTTTATGGTCCAAATGAACCAAACAAGCTGTCAGGGTTTGAACAAGGAGCCGTGATGGATCACTGCAGCCTCTGCGCGGACAGGTTTCTGCACCACGACCGGGTCTGGACCGAGTCCGGAACAAAACAGCAAAACCACCAAGTGAAATTACATTTATAATTAAAAAATAAAAAAAAACTTAACGCGCTTCTAAAGCATCTGAGGGGAAAAAAGTGCGCCCCCCCCCAAAAAAATAAATAAATCTTAAAATCAAGATGTAAACAAATTTAAGGAATGCATGAAACGGCCTGTGTCTGTTAGCAAAATATCTCATTATCCAGTGAACGGATTTTGACAAGTCTCTGAATGAAAATCTGCCCCCGCCGCTAATCAACTTATCATCTTAAAAACATAAACACGGCTACAACTCTTAATTTGACAGTCAGTATTCGAGGTGGTAGTAGCTGAGACTGATCCTCAACTCAAAGGGCGACACGCATTCCCGGACCTTTAACTCTAATAATATTCCTGAGGAGTTCTTGGGTGCAGATGTGTCCTGATGTTTGGGTTCCTCAGATGGATGAGAGGCTCTGGCTCAAGGGTTTGTCATGTAAATGGACCCGTTTGATGGACCCGGCGGACCGCTGCGGGTCTTTGGCCATTGGCGTTTCCCGGGTCACATGGTGCGTCAGGAAGCTGATATGAGGGGTGGAAGGAAGTTTTACAGCTTTGACAAACTCCCTGTAGGTCAGGGCAAACGGGGAGCAGCCATTAATGACTGCTCGGTCTTGATCTGAGTTCGGAGCAGACAACGGGCCCAGGTTCGGGATGAACTCCTACTTAGACTACCCCGTGTGCAGCCGAGGGCCGAACCTTTTCAGCGGCAGCAACCTAAACCACAGATACGCAACAAGTGAGGGTTACGCACCGGATGGCCGCTTGATCGCTTCTGCATCGCACCAGAACCTCCCTCTGCACCAGCAGCACGTCAATCTGGACCTGCAGTTCTCAGCACCTGGAACCCCCATGTATGGATCTCATCTGGAGTACGGCCTCGCTCCAGACCTGAACCAGAGCTTCCTCCAGGCCTCACCGCTCGGAACCAACATGGCTCCCTACAGCGTGGACAGCTGCGGACCCGGAGGCGCATCTGGCGGCCAGTACCTGCAGTTCGACGACCAGAGGCAGCAGGAATATGCAGTTTACCCGAGGCCCCAGTGTAGGGAGAAGGAGCCCGCGGAGGAAACTTCTAGAACTTTTGACTGGATGAAAGTAAAAAGGAATCCTCCAAAAACAGGTTTGTGACAGATTTTATATCCAAAGTCGTGCGTAAAAACTGCGTAAAGCCAAACCCAGTAAACATCAAAGCTTCCGGATTTATTTACTGGTACTTTATTAATGTTTGTCCATTTGTTGTCACATTCCTACAACCTTCATGCTTCAGCTCCATGTTTTCCATCCATCTCTCCTCACGCGCAGCCGCCCTGTCGGAGTTCGGGGTTCCGGGTCAGCACGGCGCCATCCGGACCAACTTCACCACCAAGCAGCTGACGGAGCTGGAGAAGGAGTTCCACTTCAACAAGTACCTGACGCGGGCCCGGCGGGTGGAGGTCGCGGCCAGCCTGGAGCTCAACGAGACGCAGGTGAAGATCTGGTTCCAGAACCGCAGGATGAAGCAGAAGAAGCGCGAGAAGTTCGGCTGCGTGTCGGCGCAGAGGAAACCTTCCGGTCCCGACGCCTCTCCAAAGACAAAGGAGTGAACTGTGAAGCCGGGATAAGTTGCACCATTCCGGAAAAGAAAAACTCTAAAAAGTAGCTACTTGTGTCTTTGTGAACTTTACAGGGTATGTTCGTCTCAATTTGATGCTTTATAAAAACTTTAAACCCGTTTATTTTAAACCAGGAGCTCGTGCTGTTTTGTTGAAACGCTGCTCTCCTCAGTGGCTGCACTATTTATTACAGGGTATTTTACAACGTGATTTATTTGAATAAAGCTATAAAAAGAAACAAATGTTGTATTTTTGGAAACACCTGCTGACAAATTGCCTTCTTTTATGTGCAAAAATGAAATGTTATGTGGATTTAAAAACTCCATAAATAGTTCCACTAAGGTTTGCTGCTTGCATAATGTGACAAGAGGAATCTTTCGCAGCCCCCGGGTGGTTCTGGGTGACCTTTTCACCCCGGGATGCCTCCAGGGGCTCTAAACATGACAACAAGCTGCAGGAAGCAGGTCTCCCTCTTGATTTGTTACCCAAATCCCACTTGCTTGTCACAGATTTCTGTTTTTATGATTTAAAGAAGAAAATAAAGTCGGGCTTTGAAGAAAGTCATTTTCAAAATCCAAACAATCATTTCCCTCATGTTGTTAATGTCCTTAAATTTAACAACTAATTTTGACGCCAACCACCACGCACGTTTGTTGACTGCAAAAAGAGCGTAAGAGATTGAAAATGAATGGCCAACAGAAGAACTGGCTCATACAGTAGTTAAGCTCAGATTTGCTGAGTCTGCAGATAAGGAGCTCTTTGTTTACGTTCGGTGCGTACCTGCATTTTCAGAACTTAAAGCTCATCTGGAGTAAACCTTGTCGAACAGCACCGTTAGATTAAATCCAGGAAAACCTTTGTCATGTTTGCAAAGAGCTTTAGGTTAAAACTGGTTCTAACCTTCGTCTAAGAGCTTCAGGACTGGATCACCTCGTTCCCTCTGAGAAGGGGCAGCAGTTTCAATATTTGCTCTGGTGGGGGGGTGTGTGGGGTGGGGGTGATGAGTTTACACACAGTTTCGGCGCTAACAGCGGCCTGTTGATGCAGGTTCACGCAGAGTTCAGCCACAAATGAATGCAGAGTCGATCTGTCACAACCGGAGTGACTCGTGGAGCGAACTCCCCGGCTTTGGATATTCACAGATTCTGCTTTTAACGTTCAAACTAATGAGGTCGAGGAACATTTTGACCAAACCGTGCGAACGATCATCTCCGTGAGGCATCTGAAATACACGTTTGTAGGAAATGAAGCGGCAGTTTGACCTGCAGCTCTTTCGCAACTGATAAATACAGCCCCCCGAGCAGAATTTACAGTGGAAAAACCGTACGGTTCATGGCTGCGGATTAGAAGATTCAAAGAGAGAAAACAAGCAAACGCCTTCTTTCCGGAGGGGTGATCTCTGCCGACTCTGGTGGTAATCCCTCAGCACTCCCAGCAGGCTCTCCATCTGGAGGCGTCAGAGTCGGTGGTGCAGCCAACACCGAGGAGACAGATGTTCAGCTGGGAGGAGAAGGCGAGGAGGTTTTTCACCTTCGGATCATCAGAGTGGGAGAACGGGGCAAAGAGGACAGGTGGGGCATCACAAACACCGCGACATGACAAGCACAAGACAAACCCAGTTATTTTCACTTTGTTATTGCCTGTCGCTATGGCAGGCGATAATGTATGAGTTCATTTGTCTCTGTTAGCAAAATATCTCTACAACCACTGGGCAAACATTAGAAGAAGAAAGAAGGTGCTCTGCATTTAACCACACCTGAGGCATACTCAGGTGGAGCAGCGGGCGGATGCAAGCGCCCAGGGAGCAGTTAGGATAGGTGTCGACATGTGGGCATGGCGGGGAGTTGAACCTGTGACTTTCTGGTAAGTCGGCTGCTTCACCGCACCACAGCCGCCCCTATATGAATGAAACTCTCAGAAAGTGATCAGTGGATGAACATCTGGAGCTGATTTACTCACGCCGCTAACTGACATTAGCTGCTTTGACCCGACCACTTTTCCAAATACTGAGCTAATGTTTCGGGTGGTAGTAGCTGAGAGTCATCCTCGACAGCCACCAGATTGCATTGTACAAGATCACACGTTATTTATCTAAACGGCCCATAGATGCCATTTATATGATAGTTTCAAACGGATGTGAAGGACAGCGGGTGATATGCATTCCTCCAAGGTCCTTAAATGCTTTAGATGTTCCTGGGCATCGTTATCTGATCAGGGCTGTCTTCCTCGGTGCTGGAGGCCGGCCCGGTGCACGTTGTACCCCATGCTGCTTACACAACTATTGCCGGGCTCACTTCCTCGGTTCTCCACCGGTTCCTGTCACTCCGTGGGGACCCATGGGCAAACTGGAGGCAGTGTTCATTCACCACAGGTGGGCCGGCCATCGAAGCGACGCCACGGAGGAAGGAGTTGCATCGGCAGGTGCCACAGGTGACGTTTTACGCCCACACAAAGCGTCCATGAATGGATTTTAGTTTTATTTCTTAAAATAGTAAAAAACAAATCAGATTGTGTAAAAGAAAAAGTTGATAACGCCAGAGAAATTTACGTTTTCTGCTAAAACACAGAATAAAACGAGCAGAACAGAAGTTAAAATCAGCAAAACTGTAGCTAAATAAAAAAAATCTTTGTTGAAAAGTTATGTAACGAGTATATTAAGTTAATCAAGACACAAATGATAAGCTAAAATTAACGCATACATTGCTAAAAGCTACAATTAGCAAATCCTTTCCTATAAGCTAAAATGAGCAAAACCATGCCAAAAGATTAAAATGAGCAAAGTTCTAGCTATAAGCTAAACGTACTAAAACCGTAACTAAAAGCCTAAACTGGACAAGCAGTAGCTAAAAGCTATAATCAGAAAAATAGTGGCAAAAAAAAAAAGGGCTAAAAGTTATAATACCAAAACAGGAGCTAAAAAAAACTTAACTGAACGGAGTAGTTTAAAGACTCAAACAACAAACCAAGCTTAAATTAGCAAAAACATAGCTAAAAGCTACAACTAGCAAATCCCTTCTGATAAGCTAAAATGAACAAAGTGCCAGTTAAAAACTAAATGAAGCAAAACCTTAGCAAAAAGCTAAAATCAGCAGAACAGTGGCTAAAAACTAAACTAATAATAGTAAAAAAAAAGTTAAAATGTTAAACAATAGCTAAAAAAATCAACGGAACCAAATGAAGACACAAACAACAATATTCAAGCTTAAAGTTTATAGCAAAGATGCAGGTAGAAGCTAAAATGACCAAAGTAGTAGCTAAAAGTTACAAACAAAAAACAAAAACAAAGCCATAGCTAAACTAATAAAAAAACGTAGCAAAAAGCTCAAATTAACAAAGCTTTAGCTACAAGTTATAAAAAGAAAACCTGTTGCTAAAATGAGCAAAACTGCAACAAAAGGGTAAATGTAGCAATGATGTAGCTAAAAGCTACATCTAGCAAAATGTAAAGCTCAAATCACCAAAACAGTGGCTAAAGGCTAAAAAATACTAGCTAAAGGTTAAATAGGCATAATTTGTAAGACTAGCTAATAATAAAAGGGATTTTCTGTAAATTAAAATAAATAAAAAAAAATTCAAAAGTTACAAATACTAAAAGTCAAGGCTAATCCTGATCAAGCCGAACGTTTAGATGATGGTTAACAGCAGCACGCAGAAGTACGACTGTTTGATTGTAAAACTGTACAACCAGGAAAACAATCAAACACCGAGTCAGTAAATAATTATCAAACGTGCACAGGAAGAAGCAAAAATGGATGAGATGAATAAAAAAAACCTAATTGATCCTTAAAAATGAACAATGCTGACATATTCTAACTTTATAGATTTTCTGTCTTTGCTTTAATGCTTCTCAAATAAAAAAAGTAAGGCTTGTTGGTCAGCTGAGAACAACTTTGCTTTATTTTAGATGAAGAGAAAATAATCAGGAGTTTAAACAATTGCCAAAACAACAATTTAACAACAATATTCAAGGTGCAAAAACACAAGACGACACATAGGGCACGAATTACTTTGCAAATAAAACTCAAGTTATTCCTTAAACACAATTTCTGAAGCGACAACAGTCACATGCTGGACTTTATTTATTTATTTCAGATACATTTTTGTCCATCGTTCGCACATTTATTGGTTGTAACGTGTGTGAAAAGATGCTAAGGCATGAATGGCACGCGCTCTTCTTTTGTTTTGGCACCGAGCCTCCTTACAGCCCAGCCTGAGAGGCTCTTGACAACCATCCCCCATCTGAGTCAGGCTCGATTGGATCTGGAAGCAGCAGCTGACCCAAACCTCCTGTCTCCTGGATCCCCCCCACCCCTCCTCCTCCCCAGTTCGACTCCGTTCCCCCTGCGACTGGATCCTTTCCCCACTCCATCAGCATAGTAACTGGGAGAGACAAGTGACTTGGCCAGGGTTAACGTCTTAATACTCCCTGGGATTGCCTCCAGGATCCAAATGGCTACCTCTAATAGTTTTCCTCGTCTGTGTTGCCTGTCAGACGGCTATGACTCCAAAATATAAAAACAAGACTGTGGCTGCGCGTAACGAAGCAGCACGATGAAATAACGAGGGGTGGTGAGGAGGAGAAGAGCTCCCCTGAAAGGTTTGGTGTGAGGAGAAGAGATACTTTGCATGTCGAGGCTGCAGACTTGAAATTAAACCAGTTCCTTTCCCTCAAAGCACGGGGGTGGGGGGGTCTGGACCAGAACTCAATCAGTGTCACGTCACATGGTTCAAAGCGGCCACTTCGACGCTGCCAGGAGGCTGAGAAATGCAAGGTGACAGTTCATTTTACCACTGACAGTGTGTCGGTCTCGCTCGCTGCTTCCACAGTCAATTTCCAGCGAGCGGTGAAGGTTGCTGGAGACAGACAGCGGCTACACCTCCTCCTCTTCATCCTCCTCTTCATCCCATCGACCCTGCTCTGCTTTGTATTCCAATTAACTGGACAGGAGAGGCTGCAGGATCGCAAGCAACACACAGACACGGTCTTCTGG